GATGCTGCGCAGGTCTGCAAGTCACCGTCCTGCGCCCACTCTGTTCTGGGTACCATGGTGATCATCATCAGTAGGGAAGGTCAAACTCTCGCGTTAAATAGACATCCGCTACTCGCTTGGTTTCTCTTCTGCCTCGCTGACCAGCGGTTTATGCCAGCAGCGGAGAATATTGTCTGTTTAGCTTTCCATTCAGGACACGCTTAGGCAGCCTTAGTCGGCGTCGATTTCTCATAATCATCCCCAATCATTCGCGCTCTTCTCCGGCGGTTCACTTGTCCTCAAAGTGCAACATGCAAAAATTGTAGCAGGTGGCAGGAAGGGGGCGGCAAATGCTGCCTGGCTGTTCTTCTGGCAGATGAAAGCGAGAGAGAACTTTTCAACTAAGGTCAACTCGGCTACTGATAGTCATGATTCATCGTCCGTCCTGGCCAACCAAGAGTTAGCATTCGTGGCAGGGTACGAATGGAAGGTCTTTTGATGAAAAAAACACACTTTATTTACAAAAATGTCTAATTTTACAGATATTTCTGGGCTTTACTGAGTTTTTTGTTCAGTAAACGCCAATCGCTCCATGGTGTCAGACATTGCTGATGAGTTTGTCGAAATTTTAAGATTTTTCTACTTTATACTCACAATTTAATCACTCATCTCGAGTCTGTTCATTATGACTTTGTTGAGTCATCATTAGGATATTAGAATCCACGTAATTTGAATCTGCCTCTGTTATTCGACTTATTGCGTGAACCTTACCTATTACAATTACATCTGCTATGTTTCAATCTGTGATACGCTAGCTTAGAAATGTTTCTTTTTGGTTCCACTTACTGAAGTTGACCAATTAATGTCTGTGCTTATTGAACCGCAATCAGGGACTCACTTTAACGATCTCAGTCTATTTGCCTTCCAATAAACTAAGATATATCAGCAGATATATATCAGCAGGATTTAAGTTTATGCTAACGGAGTAAAACAGCAAAAAGATATCCCTTCGGTGACGTGTCGTGGCTTTTTATCAACCATCCACTCTCCTATACACTTTATATAAAGAAGTAAAATAGAGAACTGTTTATTCTGTTTAGCAAGCATAGTAAAATAGTCAGTCTGTTCTCTTTAAAGCTCCCTAGTCCCATTAGGTGCGTTTTCGGAGTCTACTAATCACATAATTACCTTTGATGTAGTAGTTCGGTGAAGGCGCATCCAAGCAAGACAGCAGGGGCAATAGTGACTGAGGGGTTTCTCTTTCCAGCTCAGAATGCAACATTCGACCTATTTACATTTATTCTTCAATCACATTTCAAACTTGGACTTTCAGAACTTGAGACTTGACCTTATCCTGGCTTTTTAAGATGAATATTACTTAGCCCTCTGGTCACTGTTCCGTGCGCCCGGCCTATTTTCGCTATGATTAAACGTATTTGGAATGCTTATAAGACACAGATATCTCCGTTGACTTCAGGACGCGGTATGAATTACGTGATCGTGTCCTGCAAGTCCTGTTCGGCGTGCCCCGACCGGCTTCCGAATCACCAGCTCTTTTTAATCCTGTTAAGTAAGAGCAGCTGAGCCAGAAATTGTCTTCCAAGGCGCACTTTTCATTGACAGGCATACCTACTGCAGCGGGTGGATTTAATTTTTCAGTACTTATGCACTTATCCCCTTTTCGGTCGTCTCGATTTTCATTGGATGCCATATGCAGGTAAGTGAGAGAGGAGACAGTAGGGTGGATGTTGCACGGACCTACCACCAAGCCCTAATCTCCATCGCTGTGCCCACCGCATTGGGAGGCAAACGATGGTCATCGTCGTTTGTAACGGTTGACTTGACATGAGTAGGTAGAAGTCGCTTAAAAGTACGGATTTTAAGATCTGCGGCACGAAACACGAAGAAGACGATTGTGGCGGAAAATAATTATGCAAAGGTTTTTGCTTTTTTCGAAAAATCCGTCATTAGGGAGCATTATAACACACTGACAAAAAATGTTTCATACACACAAGTAACTGCTCACTCTACTGTCAGTTCCTTGTTTAAGCGTCCCGAATACCGTCAGTTTTTTTGATTTCCTGAGCTAAGAACTCTGCTGTAAGTGCTTATAACTTGCAATTTTAGCGAACGAAAAGGTTACCTGGGCTACCGAATCAAGGGCGTTTTCCAACTTAGCAGAATTGCCTAGCAAATAAAAACCACAGTGGTGAGAATCAGTGTACCTTGAAGAGTAAGGAAGTCGATAATTTAAAAAGTGACAGTAACCTTGGTTTTTAAAGTGATTGACAGTTTGAATGCATATATTCCTTTGGCTATCTCAGTGTGATGTTTCGCCACCAGGACAGAGTCTGTGCTGTAGCCTAGTCACGTGGTTTTAATGTTCACTTACTACAACCCACCTTTAAGGGACTCAAGTTCGGATGTTTCTGTTAAGTACAATGCACTTGACTTCGCAGTCTGCTACCTCATGTCATCATTGCGAAGGCCAAGGGGATAGAGTTTAACAGAGGCCTATATAACACCATTTTAAGAGATACCGGGCTGCAGGAAGGTAAATTAGACATTTACTTTCGGGGCCGATTATAGGTCGCCGTGTCGTAAGCGTTTCTCAACAATAGCATAGCCCAATAACCACAGTCAGCACCACTGCAGTGAGCACTGCCCGCTGTCGCGATATCGTTATCTGAAGGACAACTGTGTCTAGCAGAGTTCGTTCGCATTTTATCTTGTCCTCGTACGTGACTTTTGTTAGCAAACTCAAATAAGTCCTCAGGATTGAGCCAACAGCCATACTGTTAGAGGACACGAAATGTTCACGGCAACTTTCCCGCGGGAGTTGTCTGTAAGAAAGACGGACGGGCCAAGTTCAGTTGATCTCTCTCCAGGAAAAAAAACAGGCATCCACTATCCTGTCGCCCGCGTGGTTATATCGCAGTGGCCTAAGTTAATAGGTAAAACCCTTGCCGCTGCTATCTTCAGGCCCGGTTCCGTGTGGAAAGGGAAGAAGTGAGAAGCCAGATGGGAGGAGTAGCGTAT